AACTATTATATTCCTATCTGTAGAGAAATGTTTTCTCTACAAAACTGCCGTTTTAGAAAAATGTTGCAAATCGTTTTTATGAAAATACAAAACATTTATTGTGAATTTTTGAAAAATACGAAACAATAACCGATGCACTCCTACTTCGAACTAGTGTACATTAATTCGAAAACTCTACCCTAGAGTTTTCACTCACTCAACTACTATTACAACAACAAAACATCTAAATAACAATAATAATTTTAATAAAAAAAACCAAGATAAAAAACCTCGTCAGTCTAGAAAAATACAGTTTAATCAAAATGCCCAGCAAGTTAGTCGGTCAACGTCAACCTCTTTGAATCGACAACAACAGTCTTCTGATAAAAATCAACAACAACAGCAAACCAAATTAACATCAGTTAATCGACGACAACAGTCATCAGTAACAACAAATTCATTTCCATCTCGTCAAGGTCACTTATCATATAATAGAAGAAACAATAATCACTATTATAATAGGGATTATTAATGTAATTATCCCAGCTATTCTTATGATCGATATCGATCAGCGTATTATCCGTCTTACTATAATGATGAATACGATAACATCAACTCTTATTACTATTATCGTTCTTCTTATTATCCTCGTTACCGTCGTCTACAACAACAATATAGAAACAATCGTTCAGTTATTAATAATCGATTTAATTTAAATTGTACTGATTATCCGTATCATGATTACGGTAATAATAATAGTAGCAATACTGAACATCATCAACGTAACTTTCTTTCCTCGAACTCATTAGATTCAAACTCGTTCAATCAACAGCCACCACCATCATATTCAAATCAACATTCTAATTTCCTTCAACAAGATTCAAAAAACTTCTATCAGCAATATCCACAACCAAGTTCGTTATCCACATACAGCAACAACATCAATAGCTCAACCATTAGCTCCACAACAGTATCTAATTCAACCGTCACAAACTTACTATCAACCACAAATACCACAAACAACATATTAAACAACAACAATAATAATTCTTCATCAACAACAACAATTTCTCACTTAGATTCATTTAATTTATTCAAAACAATTTATCCATCATGCAATTCATCATCGATATTTAATCAAGGACTAAAACATGATCTTCAACTTGCCGAATTAGAAGCAATTCATCTAGATGGTATTATCTATACTTTCGGTCATGTCAGTGTGACAGTAAACGAGATTAAACTGTTATCTAAAGGTCTCCAATTCATTCCGAATAAATCTTTTCACATAACCAACCAGATATATTCTCGTTTTAACAAAATGTTGACAATGGAACGATATAAAAATGTCAATATCAACAAATTTCTTATTTCGCTGTTTGCTAACCGTAAATTATTTATACCAAATTTAACCACCGATGAACAACAAGTTCTGCATTCGTTAATTCAACGACAAGATATCGTTATTCGTCCTACAGATAAAAACACCGGTATCGCTGTCTTCGATTCAAACGTTTACGGATCTAAAGTACTTCAACAACTACTAGATGAAGAATTTTATAAACAACTCCATTACAATCCAACTCGTCAAACATTCCAACGTATCAAACTGGAATTAAATAAACTATTTCAATCAAAAAACATCAATTTTCAAACACTAAAATATATCGAACCTAAACAATCAACATGTGGATCGTTTATATTTTACCAAAACTACACAAGAAGAATTGCCCTGGCAGACCAATTGTGTCCGGCATCAAACATCTGACCGCAAAACATTTCAAATTATCTTGAACGAAACTTAACCCCATATATACCGTTATTGAATCAGATTGCCTGTGAAGAATATAATGTTCAAAATTATTTTGTCTTGAAAGACACAAATCACCTATTAATTGAAATAGAACGCTTTAATACTGAAATTTTTACACAAAATATTAATTTAAAGCACTTATTTTTAGTAACTTGTGATATAACATCGTTATATTCAAACATTCCACAACAAGATGGTACTGCTGAGATTATCAAGTTCCTTCGACGCTTTGGCTACCTGTCAAATTTCGATCTATCATCCAATACAATTCAAACGCTAATACAACTGGTGTTAAACAACAATTTCTTCAAATTTAAAGGATATTTCTTCAGACAGATCAAAGGTACTGCAATGGGTACAGCGTTTACCCCACCGTATGCCAACATTTATGTTTTCAACAATGAGATCCATCCTTTATTTAACTATATTAAAAAATATCCATCATCACTTGTACGTTATTTTCGTTTTATTGATGACGTCTTAGCATTCCTTTTCTGTCAATCAGCAGGTCAAGTCGATGAATTGTTAACACTACTAAATCATAACAACAATTTGAAATATACATTTGACAAATCAAACAAATATCCATTTTTTAGACGTTAATATCATTATTAATCATACACTTAACCGCATTGAAACATCGTTATTTGTCAAATCGTCAAACACGTTCCAATCCCTAGAATATTCATCATCGCACCCTCGACACATTATCAATAACATCGCCTATAGTTTATCAAACAGAATTATTCGCATCTGCTCATCGAATATTAATAAATAGTATGAACTGTATAATCTATTCCTACGTCTTGTCAATCGTAGCCACGACCCCCCGAACGTATTGAGCAAAATATTACAATGTAAATTCGTCTCGATTTAATTATGCTACCACGTCGACAAGAAAAGCAAAATAACAACAATAACAGTTATTACAACATTATTGTCCCATATCATCAACAACTACCATCAATCAAGCAGTTTTTGGGCGTACAATTTTCTTCAGAACTATTAACAAATCACCATCTCGTCTATACGTGCTCACCAAATTTAGGTCGATTACTAACAAGATCAAAATATCCACCGTCGTTTAGATTAATCACACCGACTCCGGATCCACCACCTACAACCCGCTGCAGTAAATGTTACGATCCAATTTGTGTGACATGTTTACATTTAACTCATAGTTCCTGGTTTTTATCAACATCTACAAATAAAACATACAACATCCCATACTCGGTGAATTGTGATAGTGAAAATTTATGTTACTTAATTACCTGCAAAAAATGTCAAGCACAATATACTGGTGATACCGAAACATCTCTACGGAAACGTTTCAATCGTCATACTACAGCAATCAGAAACCAATATCTCGACGACACCAATTGTGCAATTCATTTTAACCTCCCAGACCATTCATTGAACGATTTATCAATTATTATTATAGAAACAAATTATATAAATCAACAGCACCGTAAAGAAAGAGAAAAATATTGGATCGATGAACTACAATGTTTTATTAACTACAACGACGCCAACAGTACAATCTGACAAGTCAACATTCTTCAACCACACTTCAATAACAGCAACAAAAACTCGTAGCAATTTTTCTTCTCTTCTGTAAGTCATTCCACTCCTTTCTCTTAAAGTCATGCTATTAGGGTTAGGGTGGGTGGGCATGACATGTATAGAGAGCTCGATAGTGAGAGCTAGTTACTTATTTCAAGTTTATCTTCTTTTCTTACCTGGTAGTCAAAAGACACACTCTATGTTTTCCCTTTCCGTATCACGTCATATATAAAGGGTTAGTCGGATTTTATCATTTTATTTTATTTTATTTTATACTGTTTTAATATTGCGTCCTCTTTTTTTACCGTCAAAAATTACGTCACTTTTTGATATATAGATTCATTTTCCCTTTACCTCCTCTGATATAGATCTGTCTGTACCGATACACTTTCGTGTATATATGCCGTCACATCCATTCGAATTTATTATTTTTTTCTACAATTTGAAAAAGGTTACTTACACCGAAACACGTATCAAGCTTTAAACTTTTACCATCTATTTTTAAACTTTTATTAGAATTTTTATCATAATCTTTCGAAACGTTTTTTTAAAATAAGATTTTATCACAACTTTTTAAAAATAAAAATTCTTCAAAACCATTATCTTTGAAAGAGAGAGAGAGAGAGAGAAAGTTTCAATTTACCATCATTACCCTATTTATGAACAGAATGGTGGTTACGTTCCAATATGCCATTTTAAATGACTTTACGGACACCATATATATATAAATGATGGTAATACCATCATTTATATATATAGGGTGTCCGTAAAGTCCTCAGAGTTAGAAAATGTTCAATGTTTTCATCATTCTTTACCCAAATGAGCGGATTTTTTTTCTGAGTATAGTAAGCGGATAGAAGTGTCTATTCATCATAAAACAGACCATTTATGAACATAAAACAAACAATTATTTTAACGCTATAAGTAAACTTTACAACGAGGCTTTTTTCTCATAGTTATATGGTGATGCTATAGTATATTCTTTTATTTATTTAATCAGAAATGTAACTGATATGTAAGCCTAGTTTGACACAAATTGTCCTCCATTATTCATACAGACATGAAGGCGCTGTTGAACAGAACGACATACTTTGCGACACATTTCTTCTGGTATCTGTTCACAAGCTTCTTCAATTCTCTGTTTAAGCTCTTGAATGGAAGTAACTGGCTGTTTAAACACCGTGTCTTTCAAATGTCTCCAGAGGAAAAAGTCACATGGAGACCTCACCCATGCCTGACCAAATAGAAGAAACAAGTCAGAAAGAACTTGGCGACCTAATAGACCGGTTAAAAGCAGAAAACCAAGATTCCGAGAAGGCTAAAAATTTCCTTGAACAAAGCAAAACGAATGTGAAGATTCTGAATTGGAGTTTGGCCGAAGCAGTTTCGATAAGTCAGATATCTTCCCTAAATTGGAGTTTGGCAAAGCGTAATTTAGAGATGCTTTTAAAAGAATTGAAACCTTTTGATATTCAAGAAATGTTACGACTGATCAAGAGAACAGATGAATCTGTAGAGTTAATAAACGGACAAGAAACCATTCTATTATTAGGAGGAACCGGATCGGGCAAGTCAACTACTATCCATTATCTGGCAGGATCTAAAATAGTAGCTACAAGAGTGCGTGAATTATACCATATTGTTCCAGTTGAAGTGAAAAATTTGGCATTGAAAAATGTCACAACAAGTCCGCATGCTATGTCTGAAACACGATACATTACCTCTGTTCCCGTCAGTTTTAAGGATATCGGCAACAGGAAAATGGTGGACTTGTTCTCCGTGATACTCCGGGATTTTGGATACAGCCGGTCCAGAAGTGGATATTGCTAATGGCATAGGTCTTATAAGAGCAATAAAGAAATGTAAAAGTGTAAGACCATTCTTACTAGTAAGTTATAAGAGTATTGGTGACAAATTAACGGGTTTAAAGAAATCGGCATATACATTAGTAAGATTAATTCCTAATATCCAACATTATCTTAGTTCGTTTTCTTATGGATTCACAAAATATCCAGAGATCGAAAGAAATAGTATTCATGCCTCGTTGAAAGATATTTTAGATACTTTGTCTGAAAGTGAAAAATCGAATACTGCCTTTTGTCTTCTATTAGGAGACATGGCAGAACAAACTGAAGACGGTGCAAATGTAATAGATCCACTTGCAGATGAATTACCAAAAGTCCTTTATTCTTCTTATATATATTTTCTTTAATTTAAATGTTCTTTAATTGATTTGGTGATCAAAAGTGTAGTTTTTTGGTGATCATTTCGACAGAAATAAATTTGGTGATCAAAAGTGTAGTTTTTGGTGATCAAAACACACTTTCCTCAAAAGGCAATGCATACTGTTAAAATTCTTACAATCGCAATTCTAGTGAAGTAAAAGGTTTCATCTCTTCACAAAAAAAAGCTAGATAGGCCTACAAAAGAGCCTTGTACTATTTTTAATGACCTGATCCCCGAAGCTATGCGCAATCAAATTTTGTGTTTGAAGTCAAATAAACATCCTTTTTATATTCAGATTTCGATGCTCAATCCGAAAAATATAGCTTGAAAGGTTGAAAGAACTCTGAATGGTGAAAAATGAAATTTATGGACAATTAACAGTTTTTCGAAAAAATAGGTCTCTCGAGTTTTTCAAAATTTTCGACTGTAAAACATTTTTTGCAAAAGTTAAAAGCCACTTTTTCTTACTCAGCTCATCGCGCTCTATCCAACCATGGTTGACTTAACTAAAAAAAGGATTCAATCTAAAGTTCAAGTTGCGTGCACCTTACTAATTCAATTATCAAAAAGAAGAAGGGCTGCCACGGCCACGGGCGTCCAACGCCTGCACCTGAAAACGCGTGGCGAAATAGGATGACGGATGGTGGTAGATAAAAGGAACACTTGCGTTGCTTCTAACCCTGTGATTCTGGAAAGAGACATGAAAAATTCATCATTCGAAGCACACCACCACGGCCTTATTTTCAATAAGTATACCTGTTCGTAAGCACGTGCGGTACTCATACCTTTACCGTATTATCTACTACTACTCACCTGTATTTGTTATAAGTGACAGCAGTGTGCGACTCTAAGTTCAGGCGCTATGGCAACTGAAAGGCGTACGATAGCTATGTCCGCCACGCTGGAATTACCTATTTACATTACCTATTTACATTCCCTATCCGTTATATCGTTCTGAAATCCAAACTATCAAAACACTTAAATTCTTTATCTACTAACCGTTAGTAGATAAAGAATTTAAGTAGACAAATTACAGATAAATAATAATTTATCTATGATCCGAAACGAGCGAAAAATGTTTTGACTAATATTTGCTAGTATAGAAGTAGTCAGACAGAAGCAGAGCCCAAAACAGAGATAAATCAATGTTTTTACGTAACAGTATCTTTTATTTTCGCCAAACGTTTAGAAACTATCTGAAATATTTCGATATCAGCTATTTTAAATTTTGGGCTTCCTGTAAATGTATCTGGACCCTTTTCACTCGTATCGGCGTATGCGTGTGGAAAACCAATGGTGTTCACATGCCTGCTGTCGATGCTATCGATTCTAATGTCAGAATAGCCAAAACATGGGCCGAACAACTTGCAATGTATTACAGGATGTCCATCGCAGCCGCCTATGTATGCGTATTTTGATGGCTGAATATCATGAGGATTTGTTAAACTAAACAAGAAATTGTCACAATCGGGATAGGCAATATCGTGGGAATTACTGCTATCCCAATCAAATTTATTGTATCCGCCAAACAAATAACCATTGTCAGACAGTATAGTCATTAACACATTCGATTTCCCATCGCAACATCGATGAAAATCCAATATCTTATCACCATCAGTTGTCGATTTATAGATCAGTTTCCATTTTTGATCATTTACTCCATAGAATTTGTTTAATATTTGCTGTTGAGCACCCGACAATAGTGTTGTGCCCTCAAAGTAACAAATTTCTTGAAGCATCTCGGATCGAACTTGATGCTCAGTTAAACGACGTTTTAAACTTGAAAACGTTGGCCGATATGATGGCTGCTGCGCCATTGCTGACAGAATAATATCCCATAATTTTTGACTGCAAGTCTCAGGTTGTTTTAAACGTTCACCATCAATTACACGTTGTTGGACTTCTGCATCATTATGAACAAATGACCATGGTATAGTATCTTTCATAAACGCTTCCCACATCAATACACCCATTGAATACATATCCGACTTTTCTGTATAAGCTTCTTTGGATGTTACATCCACTAATATTTCTGGTGCGGCATATCTATAGGGAATTATGTTTAATGTTGTTGTAGCCGAAGAGGAAACACTCAAATAAACAGTACTTCCACGACTGAGACCAAAATCGGTCACCTTGACAACATTATTTTTCGGTTCATTAGGATCAAAATGATATAGAAGAACATTTCGACATGCCAAATCTCCATGAACAATTCGATTATACGCTAAAAAAGTCATTGCATCCGCAATCTGCATAAACATTTCACATAGTACTGCCTCTTTAGAAACATTTTCGAGGGTACTTAAAAACTCTAACAAATCTCCCATAACACCATACTCTTGCAGCAACATCACGCCTTCATTTCTTTTATCATCAGGGTAATCCACTAATCCATATGTGCGAACAATGTGTGGATGTTTAGTCAATTCAACAAAAAAAGACGCTTCTTTTTGTGCACGTGCACCACTTATTGTCATCAAAATAATTTTTGGTTCATTCGCACGATTAATCCACTGTGCTTTGTGCACAGATTTTCCGAATGCTACAAATAATCTGTCCCCCTTTTTCACATCGATGCCGAGTATAAAACGATACATCTGCTTCTGTAAACCAGATTCAAATTCATCAACTAACCTTTTTACAATAGTGTTCGTCCGAAGTTTGTCGACAGTCATAAGTTTACGAGTGATGGGGCTTGTCCCGTATTTTTCTAACCAATTAGTTATTGCTTCTCGTTCGTATGTGTTACTGTCCTCAGCCATAACCGGATCGCGAAATAGTTCGAATGTGAGCGGACATTGAAACGCTGATGTAGTTACTATAAGAGATTCGATTGCAGCTTACAAGGTCAAATGAAAATAATCACGGATACTTTAATCAGTCTAATGATACTATATAACCGTTAGATATATAGTAAATGCACACTTGATATGACTTAGATGTAAAATATTTGTTTTCTTTATATGTCGAGCCTATTTCCTATTAATACGCGCTTTTGTTTCCTTTTAACCTCTTGGATGCCGTAAGGCATCTATAGATGACATGAAGGAAATTTTATATGCTGCATATGCTTTTTCGTTCTATCGATTTAACGGAAAAAACTGCCAGAGGAACACATGTGACGAAAACAATAGAACGCAAAGAGAGATATTTAATCGTTTTTTACATATGCATGCCTTTGGACGCGTAAGAGGAAAAATAAAGGCATTCAAGAGGTTAGAATTCTCTCTCTCACTCTCTCTCTTTTTCTATTAGAGCACTAACATTTAGTGCTTTTTCTTATCTTGCAATCTGCATCGTTGTCTTTCTCCGTAATATACGTCATCAGTAAAACAACTCGTAATGATTCTTTTAAAGTGATGATTCATTTTAGTGCTGAAAAAATCTTTTTTCTTCAACCAAATAATCACTGTAAGGAGTATCTTTCATGTAACAACGAGCTTAAATGGTGAAAAATTCCTTTTTCTTCTAGATGTACAGAACGAAAACAGGAGCAAACATTTCTGATATTTCTACAGATTATGCACACTCTGTATAACAAAACGAAGAAAATTTCTTAACCCATGTCGGGCCTTTTTAAAATACCGTCGGTATACTGCGCGGTTAACCGACGGTAACTTATTAGACCGCGGTCTAAGAAAATACGGCACGGTAACTGTTTTTATCCACTCACCATTGGATTTTGCACCATGACGATATAAAAGAAACACATGCTAATACATAGAAAAATTCGAGAAACTTGATTTCTTCTTCTGATTAAGCTTTTCTTTTAGATCATATAGACTCATCAAAATTTGAACTTCGACTTGAATCAAGTTTCTCTTAATCGGGAGCCTGTCTGTGGTTTACGAGTGCTCAACAGTAAAAAAAAGAAAGTTGAACATTAGTTTCGAACTCCTGTTTTACGTGTTCATAATGACAAAATACCGGACGGCACCGATGGTAATACCGACGGTATACAGTGACACACCATGTGGTCAGTATTTTCGTTAGCTATGGTGGTATACCTCCCAGTAACCGTCGGTATTTTGCCCGTATTAAGCACATGGTAAGTTAAATAGAGAATGAAATTGATGACTTTAGCAATCTGTTTCATATCGACGCGTAAGTTACGAGTCGTAGCTTAAGTATACGTTTCATGTTTCTTTTCTGTTCTCGTAAGAATTGTATAAAAAAGCATAGTGAAAAAAATGTATATCTCGCTAGTAGGAATGCGTAGGATAAGTTGATTTGATATTCTAATATTTTTCGAGAGTATTCTAAGTCAGACGTCTGATAGAAAGGTAAATGAATGTGAAATTGTCGAACTGTTGAATTCTCTCCATCCTCATCTATTTCTGAGATCTGAGAACCTTCTCGGATAAAGATATGTGTCTAGAACTAACTTTTCTCTACGGGATCATATTTCAAAACTCCGTATTTTCGCCAAACATTGTCGGTTAGATAGACACAAAACACAGTGTGAGATATACAACTATTAGAGTCGAGCGAAATAAGTGGTTTTCTTTCTCGTATTTCTTTCTTTTATCCCCGAACCTCGTCATTTCATACTAGGTATGCACCAGTTTCGGTTTTAAAACCGAAAAACCGACACCGAAGAAACGGAACATTGTCGCATTCAAGAAATTTTCATAGATGGTAGGACACTATATAGTACCTATAGGCAAAAGATCGTTGAAGTCGGCGCTGGACATCTGGAGAGGTTCACTCGTTAGTATTGTAGTGAAATTTTGTGTCTCGATAGCTATGTGCAACTTGAGAAATCGCAGAACGTAACACAGATGATCATAAGAAGAACATAAGGCATACTCCATTCACTAAGGGTCAAATACCAGATATTAAATTCGTTCGTTAAGTCAGGATGTAGATTTGTGTATCTTTTTCTGGTTTGAGCAGTTTCAGTTTTTTGATGGTCAGTTGACCGAAACCTATCCAGATAATTAGATGTTTCTTTGACAATAGTAAACAGATGTTTTGTGGTCACTCTTTATATCATTTTAAACCTTATAACCTATATTTCACGATTTTCGGAAAACCCGAGAGAAATTTTCTCCAAAACTCAGTTTTCCAGGAATCCTGACTCTTTACAAAAGCCCAGGAAGTTTTCTGAGTTCACCATTGGATAGAGCGTAGTGTAAAATCTATAAAAACTGTTTTTCAATCCTTGCTAGCACGTTTTCTCGGGCTACTCTAGTGAAAAATGCCCACTAAGTTTGTGCGGGCCAATTCGAATTCCGTTCGTGGACGATCAAAGGGATTTAGACTAAGCTCTATCCAACGGTGAACTCAGAACACTTCCTGGGCTTTTGTAAAGAGTCAGGATTCCTGGAAAATGAGTTTTGGAGAAAATTTCTCTCGGGTTTTCCGAAAATCGTGAAATATAGGTAATCGAAAAGCCTTATAATTCGCTGGCTTGACCGTAGTCAGACGTATCGACTACTGCTGTATCGCAATTTTCGCATTCCGCGAAGAGTTTTTTTGCCGTACTTCGGCGACGTTTCTGGGATTTAGGCGAAAGTTTGATATTCTTAACTAGAATAACATACGGTGTGTCCTATTTCGGCGGCGTTTGTCAGCCATGTTATTATAAAGACCATTTTTGTGAACCTTCCACACATTCGCAAATCTTAATGATGCGATCCCTCAACAGAAATTGTCAGTCTAGACCTCACGACGTCCAAAGAGCGACACTCCTTCCTTTAACCTATTGGACGCAACAGCAATTAAGAGCTTGACATCGCTGAGATAGAGCTACCAAACGTCGTTGAAATAAGACTCAAGAAATTCTCGAAACAAAACAAAAGAGCGTCGGTGAAATACGATTCATTCACCTCGCTGATATCAGATAATTCATGTGTGCCTAAAAGCTTATCTCCTGTCCTATTCTTTATAATAACACGGCAGACAAACCTAAGCCGAAATAGGACACACCGTATGATATTCTAGTTAAGACTATCAAGCTTTCGCCTAAATCCCAGAAACGTCGCCGAAATACGGCAAAAAACCGACGCCACTCACTTTGTGATATCACACAATTCCTGTAAACTTAAAAGCTTTACTCCTCTGTTAATCTGTATACTATTAGTGAAGTTTCGCAAAATACGAACGATAGCCTGCACTCTTCGCAGAATGCATCATGGTTATTTTTCGTTAGGCGTAAAACATTTTTTCTTGTTGGCAACTGCTGAATAACCAATATTCCGCTTTGGTTTTTCCCCAATCGAAAGAAATAAATAACATAACAGCATCTGCATAACATGAACTGATTGACGTTGAGAAAGAATAATATTGAATTGTGAATGTGACAAATTTGTGAGTTACTATGGAGAAAAGGAACTGATTATAATAAAAATGTACGCAAAAATTTATAGACTGTGCAGCTCAATTTTTATCAATAGTCCTTCTTCTTGGTTTTTCCCCAATCAATGATGAATAAGCAAATAACATAACAACATCAAATTACATTTACTGACTGACGCTGAGAAGAATGATGTCGAATCGAAAATTTTTGACAATTTATGTAAACATAATTACTATGGAGAAAAGGAAGTGATATAATAAACAAAGTAGTATAAAAGAAAGACCATGTAACTTATTTTGCATCCATTTCTTTAAATATAAATAAACCTGCTCGGCAAGAAAATAAGTACGTGTTCCATTCTCCTCCGGAGTTTTATTAAAACTATTATTAGTGTGTGTTGCCTTGGTTTAGAGAAAAAAAAGTGATGTCAAATCCAAATGAATACACGCCAACATATGAATCGAACAAATATGGAGACCTCAGTTCTTCAACCACATCCACCAATATCGTAAAAGAAATCGAAAGTGATATTAAATCACTTGGCGATAATATATCTGACTCACAAAAGTCGAGTGTTTACGTTCAAGTCGGTGAAAACAAAGCTGCTAGTGATAATGGATTAGACAATACTGTTGTCACAATTGGCACTGGCAGTAGACCAGCAGACTGATTTTTGAACTGAAGGACTGCACAATCCAGTAACAACAAAAAACGTAGAACAAGTCTAAAATTCTCACTATTTTCTAGATTTCTCACACTGTATTCTTAAATCATGCGTCGTAAGAGCAGGTGCTCACATCAACCCTTCCAAAGAAATACAACCGAGAGGTTTCTGACTAAAACTTTTAATGCTTTTCTTAGAACTTTTTAATTTTTAATTTTTATTCGAATTTTTTCTCGCATAAGTAATTTGGAAATAAAATTAATCATCGTTCCTCCTCTCTAACCTTTTATGCTACAGGAATTGCGTGATATCACACAAGTGAATGGCGTTGCACCTATAAACGCGTTATTTAACACATCTTACGTGTTTTAACGCGTTTTAGCAGCCACTGAACGTGTTTCAACGCGTTAGTTAAAGAAAAGTTGCATCCAGTAGGTTAATGGAATGAGTGTCGCTCTTTGGACGTCTTGAGGTCTAGACTGACATTTTCTTTTGAAGGGTCGCATCGTTAAGATTTGCGAATGTGTGGAAGGTGCACAAAAATGCAAAAAATTTAACAAAACAGAAGAGCGTCGGTGAAATACGGTCCATTCGCCTCGCTGATATCAAATAATTCATGTGTACCTAAAAGTTTATCTCACGGCAAAAAAACGACGCCACTCACTTGTGTGATATCACACAATTCCTGTAAACTTAAAAGCTTTACTCCTCTGTTAATCTG